GGGATTCTTGTAACGATGTGTGAGTAGATGCTCGATTTTCCTGGCGTCTGCTTTCAGAGTTCCTCTTCTCACCATTCTACTTGCACCGTCAACAACATCCACCTCGATGTCATCTGCATCATCATCGTCAGCTTCTGGTTCACTGTCTCCGGCGACATCTGATCCTACCTCATCTTCTTCTCCCGGAGATGCCTTGAACTTCTTATTCCTCTTTCGCCTTTTGACTTTTGGAGGCTCAATCACAGGAAGGTCGTCATCATCACACATGATTCCTTGAGGATCCACATCACAGTTGATGAAAGTCGATTGGTAATCAGCTTCATCTTCTCCTAGGGTGAACCTTGCGATCATCTCCGCCCTTGTATCGTCGGTGGGAGTACAGAAGTCACTGCCCTTGACAATATATGGGATGTTTCCCTCTACTTCTAACATGATTTTCTTGTAGTTCGGGGAAACCATGTACGGGTTGCCGCAGGCTGGCCATATGAATGTGTATCCTTCCTCCATGCATTTCTTTCCAACAGACAGTACTGAAGGAGACTCATCTAGGACGAATGGGGAGTAGGTAGAGTCAAATTCGTCGAAATGAATGTCGGCGACTCCTTTTGTGGATGTCACTCCATTTGCAGTATAGAATGACATTGATTGGTCGCTTTCTCTCACTTCCAGACCTAATTTCTTGGCTCTGCCTTTCGATATCAAATCATATCCACATCCTGTGTCCATGATGAACTTCGTTCTTGACCCTTTGGCTGGAATAGACAATGTCTTTGTGTCTGCATGATCTTTCTTTCCCTCGCATACATGAGGAATGACTTTACGATGGAAAACTAGGCCGTCATCTTCGTCAAAAGACATAGTGACCGATAGGTCACCCTTTGGTCCAACTGGTATTCGGACCCTCTTGATCTCAGTGTAGGGGACCATCAATATGCCTCTTGCCTCTGCGACCTTTTCTTCAAATCTGATTTGTTCTTTCCTCGTGTAGCAGGTGAACTCTTTCTCATCGTATCGTTTGATGTCTGGACGTAGAGGTTTCCTTTCTACTACCTTCCATTTGTTCCTGACTGAGTAGATCGCTTCGCTCAACATGATCTCACAAGTCTCTTCATCAAAGGATACTTTTGCACCTCCTTCTCTTGCCTTGGCGGATGCAGCAATCCCTTCATCTTCGGATTCGTCCATGAAGAGTTCACCGTCAATGGCTGGGGCTCCAGGCTTCGCCTTAGGCTTCGGTTTGGGTTTTGCCTTGGGCTTTGGCCTATCGTCTCCTGAGTCAGCTGGTGCAGATATCCCTTTCTTAGGAGAGGCTTTTGGGTCATGGTAGAACTTGCAATCCTTCCCTTTGTCACAAGTTCCTCGAATCCACATCCAACATACTGGCTTGTCATTCTTTCCGACAGAAGATCCTCTGGATGGTGATCTGGGTTTCTTGTGACTGAATGGGCAATCTTTCCCCATAGTGCAGTTACCTTTCACGAAGTATTTGCATGGTATCTTCTTCTTGTCTGTACTCGGACTTCGGCTGCGATCCTTTCCATCACCTTTACCTTTCCCCTTTCCCTTTTTGTTCTTGTCTTCAGGATGCTTCTTGGGATTGGGTTTCGGCTTCACTGCAGCAGCGTCTTCTGAGACAACCTGTTCTTGTTGCCCTTTTGGTTTCTTCTTCGGATCAGCTGGTGCAGCTTTCAGTTTTGGAGCAGGTCCGCCTGGTTTGAGATTCTGAAAGATATTGGCCACATTCTTCACTGCCTTCTCCTTTTCCAGGATCATCCTGTCTTCAGTTTGCCGTTCAATGTGCCTTCTGATCATATCACGTAGATGTTTGTATGTCTTCTTGGCATCATCGTCGTTCATGCTGTTGTAGGCGCTGATGTCGTATGCCATGAGGTTTGAGTTCCTGATCTTTCTCCATAGGAGATCCCGAAGAGTTTCGTCGCTCGGGACGTCAACGGGCTTCATTCCTGCCAGAATCTCATCCCAAGTGTGGAAGAACAACGATAAGTTCTTGTCTCCTTGATATTCTAGTTGGTAGAGGTGCATTGAAGTATATAAGACTTCCACGTTTGATGTTGTCTTGAAATTCATAAGGATCAGGGCTAGGACCTCTCTTCCCTTTATGAGGCTTGATGTTCTCCCTTTTGCATTGATCCTCGTCCTCAACTTCATAGCTACACCTGAACCATCATCTTTCGCATCCATGACGACCTTGGTAAGAGCTAGGCCGAGTTTGGCATCGATTGAATGGAATCTTTGGTCTCCTGAGTCGACAAACTTGTCCGGATCAGGATCGTCCATGGCTTCTTTGATCCAGTCGATCCAGGGCTCTTGATCTGAATCATTGGCCGCAATGATGATCGATTGAATGAGATTTGCCTTCCATAGTCCAAGATCATTGATCCTGGGCCATGACGGAACGTTTATCTTTGATTCTTCCTTCCTCGATACTTTCATGATTGTAGAGGTTGCCGGTGCAAGATGAGATGAAGAGGATGCTTCTGCTTCTGAAATCTTGTCCCTCAATGATTTATTCGCCTCGGATAGCTCAATTGATTTCTCCCTTTCCTCGGCGTACTCATTGTGGGTTTCGGCATACCATTCATACATCTCATCTCGGCTCTCTGTCATTTCATTGTACCCGTCCTTGTAGTGCTTCGCCTCCTCTTTTGCGTTCCGAATCTCATCTTCCTCGGACGCGTGGGTTGGTAACCCGCGGTCTCTGGAACTAGGACGCTTGCTGTACCGAGAGACTATGGATGCCATTCGTGCTTCTGCTTTTAATTTCGCATTTTCCATAATGACATTCTTTGTCTCCTTCTGGCTTTCCAATAGTGCATTCTCCAGTTCCCTGATCTTCTGTTGAATTTCAGCACCATCATCGCCGAACATAGGAGCTCTCATCATATTCTCTCTTTTCAGCTGTGCGTTGGCTTCGGATAGAGCGAGGTTGGCGTCTTTCAACTGTTGTCGTTCACGGATGGAACCTTCTAGGACTTCGTTGTTGAATATTTCTCCTTTTGCAATAACCTCCTTTGCGACGTTTGCTTCGTATTCATGGTGGCTCGCCTTCATTTCTGCCATTTCTTTAGCAGAGACTTCAGTCTGGCATACAAACATCTCCATCCTCATGCCCACTTCCATCTCTTCTATCTCCGCTCTCGCGTTGAGTTCAGCTCCACGTGCCATAGCTAGTTGACCTCGTAGATGATCAATAACCATAGCTTCCTGATTGCTCTGATCTTGAGATGAGTGAACACTGTGTTGAAGACGTCTTTCCCTGACCTCACTGTTCCATTGTTCTTCTCTCTGGTGTTGGATCACCTCGTGCATGTTGACATTCTCATCCTGTAGCGCAATCATTCTAGCTTGTATCTGGTCAGCTATTCCGACGAAGGCTGTGTTCTCATCCTGAATGGCTTTTGATCTTCTATTGATCGCCAATGAAGATTCATTCTGTTCTTGGATGTGTCCAATTGCTGCTTGAAGCTCTTGGGACATTCTGTCCTTCGTTGCTTTCACAGATTCAAGCTCTGAATGTTCTTGATGAGTTTCTTGCGCAAGCTCTTGATATCTCATGTAGATATGTTCAGCTGTCGATTCCGCCAAGCGTAGCTTGTGTTCGAGCTCTTCAATTCTTATTGTCGCTCCTTCATCTTCCTGTGTCATCTCTTGTAGATGTTCCTGCATCTTCCTGTTGTAGTCAGACATTTGCCTGAACTCCACTTCAGCCTCGTGGTGTAGTCGTGAGTATCCGGCTTGGATGCATTCATATTCTTCATGAAGAAAATTGTATGCGTTTCTCGCCGATCTCAATTCTTCACCCAGCTGAATCTCTCTTCTTTGCTCTTTTGTTCCTCTATCATCGTCACGTCTCTTCTCTATACTCCTTCTTGGGGATCTCGCGGTAGACGTTATAGGCGATGTAGATCTTGTTGTAGCTCTCATCGATCTTCTTGGTCCTACGGGTGCAAGATCGGTCAGATTCCGAGCCGGTGGCACGGATCTTTCCGAGATTTGTGATCCAGTAGGCATAGTGATAACGCCAGCATTTGCTGATGAGTCAGTGCCCATTGTAGAGTCTGGTGACGAAGTGGTGTTGGGACCACCAGGAGCAGCGAATGAATAGGGTTCGCTTCCATTTCCTCCTGAGCTTGACATTGCAGGTTTCTGTAATGACTAGTCTTGTTCTTGGTCTCGTGTAGCTCGTACGGCTATAAAGAGCGCGTACGGCTGATAACCTGCGAGTGGATCTTAATCAGCGAAGTTTGAAGCTATCACTGACGATCCATAAGCGGCGTAGCGTCGGAACGGAAACCGCACCTTTTCTAGTCGCTTGATCCTTGAGCCAAAGTACATATGGTACATATATATATATGTACAAGTTGCACTGTACGTGTCGCTGCACTTCCATTCGCACTGCAGAATAACAAATAAAGAAACACGATACGGAAAAAAGAAAGAGATTAGGCTCAAGCCCGATCAGTATAGACTACATGCCGCCCTTGTAGTCGCTCAAGCCCTTGGCTCTCAAGCTCTCATTTGTTGCGCCACAGTCTGTTGGCCGAGACTCCCACCCATAACAGTTGGAATGATGAGCAGCCTTGACAGATTCACCCAGACACACAACAGAGTGTGTAGACAACAAAAAGGAACAGGAACACGAGGTACAAAGGCGAACCGCATCCATTGATAGGTGCTAACTTCGTTCCATCAAATCTGCCAAGGCACTTGGTAATTTGGTAAAAGCCAACACTATTGGCCTGAAGGGACCAAGTTCCGGCTCGACGAAAGCCAGCGATTTCAGAGGCAAGATACACCTACGAGACTCTAGACCTCAGCCCTCTTGCACACTCTCATGGAATCTCTTCAGAGTTGCAAAACAGTATAACATCTTTGGACAGTATATTGCATGTGCTCCCTCGTTTCCGTGGGGTTGAATCAGGTTGCATATGCTCCCTACGCGACAACTCTGCATGGCCAAATCCCACGACTCTTCCTTCGCCGCTCACAAAGCTGGGACTTTTGGACTGGAATCGAGACTCGCGCTTCTGCTTGAGCGGCGAATCTCAGAATCTCCGTCGCATCTCCGCAAGCAAGAGATCTTTGGTGAGAAAAGTGATGGATACAGACGGCACACTTTTGAGCAGCGTCACACTCCATCCTCGATAAAAGGGAAGCACCCCACCTTGTGACCACAAGTATTTGCAGCACCGCAGTATGCTGCCTTGATATCTGGAATCAAAGCCCAGTGCACCATCCAGCATCAGTTGGCGCCTTACAGTATCCAGCGGGTAGCACATGGTGGTTGCAGCAACACCGCTGCACAAACCTTAGGGCAAACATGTCCAAGCTCACCCGCTGTTGGATCATCGGGTTGCACTTGACTCTGCTTCAATTTGGCAAGTGAGGTAATGAAGGGACTTGATCTACACGTGCATGTCATAAGAAGCTTGTTAGAGCTACACTCGCCTGCAAAGACCTGGCGGCACCACAAAGGACTGCCCGCTGCACCAGGGACCATCAAGCGTTGCTTCAAGCCTTCAGGTGTGAGGGTGGAGGCCCGTGGACAGCACACTGAGGTTTCACACTGCACCCTATCTGTCTGTGAAGTATTGCCGTCTGTTTCACACTGCATTCCGCCCTTCCTTTCGGATGTTTGCCTTGCTCAGGTTTACGACGGACTTTCTTGGTACCCAGGGCCTTCATACGATGTGAAGGCAATGGCAGTGTAGGGAGCTATTTCAAGCATGCTTGCAAGACAACCTGCATAAAGACCAGCCACTCCACGGGACCCCCAAGTTTGGCTCACGCAGTCCTAGGGAGGTGTCCGAGCACTCTCCAAGGCTAGCATTCAATATCACAGAAAAGGAATGACATGCATGAGAACCAACATTCCAAAGCTTATCCATCCACGAGAGAAAAGTTGGTAAAATCAAGGACATGTGATTGTTCTCTGTCCACAAGCAGCCAAGGACAAGCCTGGCATGGAGACGGATCAACAAAACAGAACCTTGCTGTCCCTCAGTGGAACCTAAAACTCTTTAGGTTCGAACAATTGCCCGCATCGAGTTGGACCAAGTCTCCATGAAGCCTATGTATGACACTTCATCGGCAAAGATTCGGGCAGCCGCCAAACGTGTGCGCACAGTGTCCTGGCAGCAAGTGAATAGGGATCTGAAGGCAAGTGTGGTACCACACCATGATACCAAATGAAAAGCGCAAGCTATCCTGCGTCCTACCTAGGAGCGCCCACTACCTAATAGGTCCTACTTAATGGCTACTGTAGCTTAACAACAATAATGGAAAAAGAATGTGTCGTACAAATATATTGTTAAAACGAAATACAATGACAATATCATAATTAACTGGTTGGTGTGTTCAACCCATTTGAAAAATATTAGTCAGAGGGTCCAATCATCCCCAAGTTAGGGTTGAAAACAAAAATATCCGAAACCATCACCTAGAATTGTATATATATAACAACGAATGGTCACTGTTCAAGTATTTCACCACCTCTACCGACCGAAAGGACGCTCCAGTGGGTGGGTCAGCAAGAGGGCACCAACTCCCGCCAGACCGCCAGAAATGAAGCGCCTGCCAAACAGCACATAGCACAGCTCACAGGTGTAGGCTTGGTAGTAGGGAGAGAAAGTTAGGGATGCAACAATGCCCATCTCAGCAAGTACGTTTTTTCCTGCAAACGAAAGAATGCGCGCAAATGATAAAGATCCTGCAGGCATGCAAACTAGCACAAATGCAACCGGATGTTGCTTGCGCCTCGTGTCGCTCTGTGGCACCCAGGAGAGGGCGGAGTCAAAGTAAGTGAATAGCCAGAATCTGGTGCAGCTTGCAACAAGTACTAGTCAGCAACAACACTGAAAGTCAAGTCCGTTCTTCCCTGATAACCTCTCACAAGTCGGAGTATTACTGAGAACTACTTACAGACGGACGGATGTGACGGCCGTCTTAGTGCCATCTGTCTTTCCGTCTCCCACCTGGCACCATACGTGGGCAAAACCCTCATGACATTGGAGAGGTTGCCACGCCAAAGCCCTGCAAAGCCCATGGGTTCCTGCAAGAGCCTCGAAGTGAACAGGGAACCACTGGCTTCAGCATGTTGGGTAAGCGGGGGGGTTAGCCCCGAACGCAACACACCGAGGGTGAAAAAACCGTGCTTTACAGGGCTTCGTGGCTTTCCGGACACTGAACTTATCGTCTTGCAACTCATGAGTTGCAAGACGATAAGTTGAGTGTGTTTTGACGGACCCAACCCACCCGCCTGCTCCATGTACAGCTTGCCAAGGCTCATTTTCCAGCCGCCAGACATCAGTCTTGTTCCTAATTGAGCCATTTGAGCTCAGATGTACATTTGAGCTGGCAGGCAAGTGTCTTGCACAGTTTCTCTATGTATTCTGACAGCCCCGAGCATCGAGTCCAATTCTGGATGTTGGCGGAACCACAAGGCTGCGAGGCCTTCAACATGCTGTCGTTGCAGCTTTGCATCGCAACGGCCAAGAAGACCCACTCTACGCAGTGCTAAAACAAACCTCGAACGTTGAGCCCGTCATGTCCTGTAAGCCAAGAAAAGCGAGTAGTCCAGCGAACGAATGGTCACCGAGCGAACGAAAGGTCACCGAGTCGACAAATCAACGTCAAAGTCGATGTGCGCGGGTAGTAGCACGAACGAAACTGACCCCACCCCCCCCCCACACCCTCCCCACCCCAAAAGACCAGGGATTTATGTTGCCGGCGGGGCTAACCCCCCCCCGTTGGCCCAGCATGTTGCAACTCCTTGAGGGTGCGGTTCCTGAAAGGTTCATGGTCCCTGCTCTTGCTGCGCTGGGTACTGTGCAAACATCAAATTGAGTCAACAGGAAAAGTAAGAAACTGAAGCGGCCGGAAAAAAGAAAGCTTCAGGCCGAGGCACTGATTCATGCCATGGACAAGATTTCGCACTGGCAGTTCTGCCGCATGGCCCACAGACAATTGCTGATTCTGCAACCTGAAAAGCAATTGCGTCTTACAATTATCGTCCAAAGGCGTGGCAGGCTGGCATTGTCGTACATGAACCAAGGAAACTCAAATGAAATCTCCCAGGCAAGTCACACCAGCTTTACTCTCTCCATTGGCGCCGTTGCTGTCTTTGCCACTGCCCCTGCGCAGGCCCCGGCCACAGCATCCTGCCAACTAACCCCAGCCATCGAGGTCCTTCTCCATTGTGATGTGACTGAAGACACCACCACTTTTGAATTAGCACAGGTCAAACTTTGCACTGATTGCACGGTGTGTTCTGCTGCATTTACATTGAATATAGATGTTCCGAATGCCCCTAAGAAAGAACATCCAGTGATGGCAAAAAAAAACATCTTGGTTCTGAAACAAGCGAGATGCGAGCCTGCCATCTACATCTACTGATTCATGCTTCCGGCAGAATATCAAATCTGTAGAAGATATTGGCTGCGTATTTTCCTTCCCTGTAAGCCAGTATGTGAAGCGACAGTCGAAAAGCTCTCAGACTGAGTGGAATGTATGACAAAGTGTGCCAAGAAAGGTGAACCCCTTCAAGTCTTCAAGTCAAATCCCGTCTTCGTTTGGCCCTTGAGATTGAGATGTTCAATGATCCTTATGTAAATGTTTGCTGCTGACTGCACTGTCTTTAACCATCACGATTTCTTCAAGCCCCATTGCCATTGCCTCGTTGCTGCAATTGTTGAGTAGGACCGTGCTGAGCGCCATGCCTCTTCCGTCAGTAATGCTGCAAATGTGATGCAAAGTAGTGAAACAGGACAGGCTATGTATGGCCACCTCACCCTTGTACAACAGGACAACACAACATTGTCTAGCTCCAATGGAGGAGTAGACTGCAAGTGTGCTCAAACGCCTGCAACGATCCATCCTGGAAGCAAGCGGACGAAACCAATTGCGATAAGTGCAGTAAGTGTAAAGAGGACTGTGTCCATTGCAAAGCCACAAGGCAAACATGTCCAACAAAGCACGCCGTTTGAGTGTCTGCTTGCAGAAAGGGATCGATCTCTATTTGGCAAGTGCTTCTTCTCGAACCAGCGAAGCTTCGCTAGGCATTCAAGCAAAGACCTGGGATTCAGACAAAGCCATGACCAAAGGCCGCTCAAGTGCAACATGATCCTTGACAAATCATCTTTGGACCCTTACGCAGTGGTCAGGAAGTTGAGAAAAAGCATCGTAAGAATGAAGTCGAAGCCTTGGCAGCTCAAGCTGGGTCTTTCAAAGGTTTACAACTCTGGCTGGCATGGCTCTAGCTGAGCTAGGCTTGAGGCCACATGCTGAAGCAAGTTGTTTGTTTACCAAGATGATACTCACCTTGCTGGCAACAGCTCTGACTATTTGAAAGCACTTCTGGCATTTGTGAGGCTGAGGATCCGACACTGGACAGGATGTTAAACGCAGCTGCAAGGATCACCGACATTCTGAGTGGCTGATCAGGCTTCCGGGAGGTGGTTCCTGAATGCCTCTTGGTGGGTGGCAACAGCCACCTCGCACACCTGTGTCATCTCCCTGATCTGCTGAAAGTTGCACTTAAAACACAGGTGCTCATCCCCTTGTCCTCATCTTTCATGGACTTTCGCTAGATTGCTCTTAGAGATTTGTCAGTGTCGCGATGAGGGACGCGGAAGTAAAAATTGATGCATTGGTGAATAGAGGTATGTAAAGGTAGAGGTATGGACCCAAGAAAGAAGAATGGATCGAGGATGCATGTGTGGATGGATAGTGGAAATATCATGTATGGTGGTGCCCTTGTTTACAATTTCATCTTTTTGGGGGGATGGTGATCGGAAACAGCCTCTGAGACAAATCATTGCTCGCGCGTGACCCACCATCATACAAGGCTGCATTAACAGCACATTGAGCTAGAGCTGAAAGGATAAAATTCAAGTGTAAGGACCTCGTTTGATTGCAATGGAGCAATGTCGCTCCCTCTTGGTCTTTTTCGTCAAAGACTGCTTCTGGCGTTGGGCCACGAACTTGCCCATCTGCGGGCATGCAATCAAGGCCTTGGAAACAGTCGATGCTGTTCTTCATGAATACTCTCTTTTTGCAGGCCGCCTTGAATGCTTGAACTGCTTTCTGGGCGTCCAAACGAGCAGTGTGGATTTGAAAAGCAGGACTCCTGGGAATGAAGCCAAAAGGAATGTTGAAGGAAAAGGGAAAGGAATGCAACTGCTTCTAAGCTGCTGCCATTCACCACAAGAGCATGGCAAGCCATGCCAACCTTGGCATCAGGAGAGAAAACCATGACCCACCAAAGCAAACTGCTAACTGCTAACCGTAATTATATACCCACGTGTACTGTATAGTATAGTATATGCACCTTCAGTGTGGAGATGACAATCTGGGTGATTGGCTAAAGCCTCCTAGCTTCTGCTTGCAAATCGCATTGCCGCAAATGAGACCTGAGTCAAGCACATGTTAACATTCCTATGTATGAAGAATAAAGACCGCTAATTTGTCGTAACAAACACCTCGTTCGGAGACCATGAAAAAAATCGTGACATACCCATGTCCTGTCCGATTCCAGTACAAAGCCTCATTGTGCAAATCTCATCAAACCAATGCCGTTACCAACTGAGTTGCAAACGGCCTGTTTGCGTGCTGATGTCACCCATCCACCTTCATTCAAAACCCAGTTTGCATGCGGACGATTCAGTGTTTGCATTCTCTGTTGCACGATCAAAAGTAAAGGCCTTCCGTGGACCGTCCAACTTCAAAACCACAACACAGCCAATGCCCTATCTTTTAGCAACACTCCGTTGGATGCCATGTTTGTATCAAGTGCAAAAATGCCTAGCTGAAGGGACCCTGTTCGGCTTTGCAAACTACATCTAGAGGTCTAACATAAAAATATGTCACGACCGAGGACTCAGGACGTCACTTCATCGGTTGTACAAACCTAGGCCACAAACGTCATCAAAACTCAACTCGTCTGCAAACGCTGGCATGCTTGAGCTTGTTGAACAAAAACAATAACAAATGCTTAAAACTAATCCCTCACCTTGTGAAGTAGCAGTAGAGCAGGGCTCCAAACGATGTGATTTCCACTATATACATCGCGCTAAATGGGTCATCTTCTTGACGTGTTCCATCCCTTGCTGAAGCTAAGAAACATTGACGTGCAACCTGCGCCTTCTCCAGCTGCAGCTGCAGCAACTGCGTCGGTTCGCCAATCGCCGTAGCCACCCTCACGTATCCGGTACTTGCAAAGGTGCTATAATAAGGATATGAGCAGCGGACAAAATTACTTGTGTAGCCAAATACCATTTGACATGATTATCGTTTTTGGTGGGGTCCATATCGTTCTCCAATGTTTCTCCAAACCGCAGTTAGCATAGCATACCGGCACATAGACAAAAACACAAAATATAACTCACAACCTCAGATTAGAGTCTTAGAGGCTTACAGTGCTTTCTGCACAGGAATGGCACAGCACTTGATTTATGCACTTGGGTTCTTGTGGCACTGGGCTGTGCAAGGATCACAACACATAAGCGGGGACCTAGTAGCTCGGGGTACACGGCTCATTTTGGAACCTAGAAGCGGCTCATTTTGGAACCTGGCTCATTTTGGAACCGGGACGAAAAGAAAACTCTCCGGGACTGCAGCGTGAGACCAATTGCGCGGCTCATTTTGGAACACGCGTCATTCGGTAGTGCTTCGAAGGTAGCATTTGCTAGTGAAAATGAGTGTTTCGTACGAGACTTCCTCCAAAAAGTGAGCCGCGGAAGTCTCCAGAACGAGCGTATCGTACGAGACTTCCTCCAAAAGTGAGCCGCGGAAGTCTCCAGAACGAGCGTTTTGTGCGAGACTTCAAAAGTGAGCTGCGGAAGTCTCCAGAACGAGCGTTTTGTACGAGACCTCCTTCAAAAGTGAGCCGCGCAAGTAGAGAGAGAGAGAGAGAGACAGAGAGAGAGAGAGAGAGAGAGCGAGAGCGAGTCACACGAGGCTTCTCCCAAGGCGAGCCGCGGAAGTCTCCAGAACGAGCGTATCGTACGAGACTTCCTCTAAAAGTGAGCCGAAGAAGTCTCCAGAACGAGCGTTTTGTGCCAGACTTCCTTCAAAAGTGAGCCGCGGAAGTCTCCAGAACGAGCGTTTTGTACCACGCATTATCATATGACACGCACGATCCTCGCAAAGGGTCGCTCCAGGTCAAACGCGTCAAACGCGATCGACGTTTCACTACACGTTTGAACACTTGGCACGCGCGATCCTCGTAGAGGGTCATGTTACGTGAGCTCCGGCCGGACCTGCCCGCCGCCGTAAGAGTATAGAAGACACTCATAAAGAAGTGGTTTTCGTAGGTGAGATTAAGTGGGTGTTTTTGGTAGGTGGTTTCTCTTGGTTTGCCTTAGGGGCTTTGCTTCTTTAGGATGTTTTTGGGTTGGACTTAGGGCTTCAATGGAGAGGGGCTTAGGCCTTCACTTCTTTAGTTCTTTTGGGTTTTGCTTCAGGCTTCACTCTTTTAGGGTTTCATGTGGTTGGGCTTGGGACTTTGCGTCTTTAGGATGTCTTAGGGTCGGATAAGCCTGCGCTTCTTTAGGGTCTCTTTTGGTTTTGCTTCGGGCTTCGGCTTTACGGTTTCTTTGGTCTTAGCTTCGGGCTTCACTTCTTCAGGATGTCTTTGGGTTTGACTCAGGGCTTCACTTCTCGAGGATCTGTTTTTGTTTTGCTTAGGGTTTCGCTCCTTTAGGTTTTCTTTTGCTTCTTTAGGATGTTTTTGTGCTGGAATTAGGCCTTCACGTGAGGGCTCCTTTAGGATGTCTTGGGTTTCACTTAGGGCTTCACTTCTTTAGGGTCTCTGGTTGGTTGGGCTTAGGGCTTTGCTACTTTAGGATGTCTTTCGTTTTCACTTAGGGCTTCACTTCTTTAGGATGTCTTTGGGTTTGACTCAGGGATTCACTTCTTTAGGGCCTGGTTTGGTTTTGCTTAGGGCTTCCCTCCATTAGGATGTATTGGGTTTCACTTAGGGCTTCGCTTCTTTAGGGTTTCTGGCTGGTTTGCCATAGGACTTTGCTGTTTTAGGATGTCCTTGATTGTGACTTAGAGCTTTACTTCTTGAGGGTCTCTTTTGGCCTGCCTTATCGCTTCACTTCTTTAGGATGTCTTTGGCACAAATTCAACAGCATCTCTTGCTCAACATTTTGTGTTTTGTGCACATGGTCGTGGTAATTACGTGCTTTGGCGAAGCTGGGTTTGGTTTTGCTCAGGGCTTTGCTCTTTTAGG